CCACTTCCGGCTTTTTTCTTTTTGCTTATGTGGTGCTGAGGAATCGAACCCAGGACCTCAGGCATGCAAGCGCTCTACCACTGAGCCACCTTCCCAACCCCACATAAAATACTATTTATCGCAATGAATTCCAGGAAATTGAAACAACAGGGTTTTTTCTTTGTTACTGTTTCTCTTTTTGTATTGTTCATTTATCTGTCTTTGGTGGTGGGGGGGGTGGGTAAAAGGCAAATAAATGGGGCTGAGAAGGTGGCTCAGTGGTAGAATGCTTGCGTTGCTTGCATGAAGCCCTGGGTTTGATTCCTTAGAACCACATAAGCAGAAAAAGCTGAAAGTGGCGCTGTGTCTCAAGTAGTAAAGTGCTAGCCTTGAGCTGAAGAGCTGAGGGACAGTGCCCCATGACCAACAACAACAACAAAACGGCAAATAAATGCAGCAGTTGTATTCACTCAACTCTGTATTGAAAATTAACTATATAGCTTACAGGTAAGGATGGGAAAGAAAAATAGGAGAGAGCTAGGGTAGGGGTAACATTGAACAAAAAGAAATGTGTTCCTTACCTGACTTATATACCTGTAATTCCTCTATGCATCATCTTTATAATAACAATAAAAATTAAATATACATATATATACATATATTTGTTGTTGCTGGTCATGGAGCCTGAACTCTGGGCCTGGGCACTGTCCCTCAGCTCTTCAGCTCAAGGCTAGTGCTCTACCACTTGAGCCACAGCGCCACTTCTGGCTTTTTCTGCTTATGTGGTGCTGAGGAATCAAACCCAGGGCCTTATGCATGCAAGGCAAGCACTCTACCACTGAGCCATCTTCCCAGCCCCTATAGAAAATTTTAATCTGGCTCATGTCCATAATCCAAGCTACTTTAGATGTGAAAATCAGGAAGATCCCAGTTCCAGGCTAGTCCTGGAAAAAAGTTAATAAGACCCCCTATCTCAACGAGTAAACTGAGTGTGCTCATGTCACACACATGTCATCTCAAGTAAGTGGGAGAACATAAGTACAAGGATTATGTCTGTGGCCTGGCTGGACAAAAAGTGAGACCTTGTGTAAAAAATAACCTGAAAACAAAAAGGGTTAGTTTTGGCTAAAGCAGCAGAGTAGTTGCCTAACAAGTTCTAGGCAAGATCTTAAGTTCACACATTGAAAACGCCAAAAAGAAAAAAGAAAAAAAAAGTTTCGGGGCTGGGAAGGTGGCTCAGTGGTAGAGCGCTTGCCTTGCATGCGTGAGGCCCTGAGTTCGATTCCTCAGCACCACATAAGCAAAAAGAAAAAAGCCGGAAGTGGCGCTGTGGCTCAAGTGGTAGAGCACTGGCCTTGAGCTGAAGAGCTGAGGGACAGCACCCAGGCCCAGAGTTCAGGCCCCACGACCGGACCCAAAAAAAATGGTTCTTGGGCTGCGCATGGCAGTACAGTCCCAACTTGATCTCAGAATTGGAGTCCAGCCTGGATAACACAGTGAAATATTGACTCAATAACAGACGAGGAAACAGAAAGTGAAAATAGTCAGGTGCTGGTGGCTCATACCTGTAACCCTAACTACTCAAGAGCCTGAGATCTGAGGATCACAGTTCAAATACAGCTCAGGCAGGAAAATCTATGAAACTCTTATTTCCAATTAAACACCAAAAAAGCCAGAAGTGGTAGTACAGCTTAAGTAGTAGAGCACCAGCCTTGAGCAAAAAAACTGAGAGTCAGACATTGGTGGATCATGCTTTTAATCCTAGCTACTCAAGAGGCTGAAATATCAGGATCACAGTTTGAAGCCAGCCCAGGCAAGAGAGTCCATGAGACACTTACCTCCAATTAACCACCAAAAAGCCAAAGTACAGCTGTGGCTCAAGTGCTAGAGCACTAGCCTTGAGCACAAGCATTCAGGGACAGGCTCTGAATTCAAGCCTCAGGATGGGCACAAAAACCAAAAATAAACAAAAAGGGAGCTGGGAATATGGCTGAGTGGTAGAGTGCCTGCCTAGCATGCCAGAAGCCCTGGGTTCAATTCCTCAGCACCACATAAACAGATAAAGCTGGAAGTAGCACTATGGCTCAAGCGGTAGAGTGGTAACCTTGAGCAAAAGAAGCTCAAGGACAGTGCCCAGGTCCTGAATTCAAGCCCCAGGACTGGCTAAAAAAAAAAACTCAAAAACCCTAAGAGACAGCATCCAGACCCTGAGTGTGGGACACACACACACACACACACACACACAAATGAAAACTATACCCATTCAAAGCTGCAATTATAGTTCTAAATAAATACATCCAGAACATTTATGCTGACATAATTATAAAAATATATCCTCCTGCATATTCCCTATAGTGTTGTGTCTAATTGAAAATAGGATGTCTTTGAAGAAGAGAATAGATGATTAATTGTACTGTATCTACATAATACTATACAATGATCAAAGATAATATTTAGAAAGAATCGTCATGGCAAAGGAAAATGATCAGGATGTAATGTTGAGTGAAAGAAGCAGGACACAAAATGGCGTCCTACTTATACCAGCTATATAGACCAACACATACAAAAATTAAAACACTAAAACAATTACAAACGTATGCTCTTCTCTAATTTTTTTTTGGGGGGGTCTGTCCTGGGGTTTGAATTCTGGGCTTGGATGCTGTCCCTGAGCTCTTCACCTCAAGGCAAGAGCTCTACCACTTGAACAACAGCGCCACTTCCTGTTTTCTGGTGCTTAATAGGAGATAAGAGTCCCAGGACCGGGCTGGGAAGGTGGCTCAGTGGTAGAGCACTTGCCTTGCATGCATGAAGCCCTGAGTTTGATTCCTCAGCACCACATAAGCAGAAAAACTCAGAAGTGGTGCTGTGGCTTGAGTGGTAGAGCACTAGCCTTGAGCTGAAGAACTGAGGGACAGTGCCCAGGCCCAGAGTTCAGGCCCCATGACCAGCAAAAAACAAAAAGTTTCACAGACTTTCCTGCCCAGGCTGGCTTTGAACTGCAATCCTCAGATCTCAGCCTCCTGAGTAGCTAGGATTACAGGCCGTGAGCCACCAGCACCTGGCTCTTCTCTATTTTGTAAATTCTCTACAATGAGACTGCAAACTCCTCCAAATTCACTTTAGGGAACATGAAAAGTTATCCTTTTGGGGGACTCTCCTTAATCCCACAACATCTCATGGAATGTGGTTCTTTCCACAAGTATGGTCTTTCCAAGTATGGTCTTTACCTACCTTCTCCTCCCACAACCTTATTGCCTCATATTTCTCTAAAATTCATTCTCCTGTCAAATCTAGTGTTCCATACACCTCACATTGAGCTTAAAATGCCTCATTTCTCCACTCCATTCCACCAGCAGGAACAGCCCTCTCTCAAGCCGAGGCCTGGTGGAAGCAAGGTAGATAGCACTGGTATAACAGTTACTTCCTTAGGCTTCTACCTTCTGACAGTCTCTTATACATGTTCTGACCCGAGGATAGTGATTTTTTTTTTGCACAAAGGCTCTACAAATACTTTAAAACGTCTGCCTTTAAACAACTTAACTTTCAGTATAGCCTCAGAGTTGTTGCTGAATTTGTTTTTCCCCTTTAATGATCAAAACATGATTTCTCTCCCAACACCTAAACCCAAAAGCCTGATCTATCCTGGATTTTCCAAATAGGTTGCCTCAAGGTAAGAGAACTGTCAGATGCTGTTTCGAATTCCTTTCTTTTTCTTTCCACACCAGCTATTGACTCTCTTCTTTCAGGGCCGGAGTGTGACCAATGCATGTGGGTAAGCACGGTACAGATGTAGACTTGGTGCCCAAGTACCACTTTGGCCTCTTTGATCATCTTGAATGCCCAGAAGGCGCGAATCTGTCCCAGTGTTTTCGACACCGACCTTATTGGCCGACCCCAGCTCCGACACACCCGTAGTTGAGCCAACGCTCACCGTGCCTTCGTGAGACATCGTCACGGCGGTCCTCCAACACCTCCAGGTGTTTGAGCTGCCTCTGGGACCCGACGCTGCCGCCTAACGGTCGCCTCGGCAACCACGCAGCGCGTTGGGGCGCTCGCCCCGCCCACGGTTGCCCCGGCAACTGCGCCGCGCGTGCGTGACGTAGAGCTACCATTCGTCCCGCCCAAAGGCCGTGCGTAGGTGCGTCGTCTCTATGGTGGCGGCGGATTCGGAGGGACCGCACGATCCAGGAGGAATCAGGCAAGGGTATCTGGGGTTGTGGGTGTAACCTCTGACCTTGCAGGGGTCTTCAGAAAGCCGAGCCGAAGGAAGAAGGTCCTGGAGGCCTCATTTTGTCTTTTTTGTTGTTGTTGTTTTTTAAGCTCCGGCAGTTGGGAGCACCGCGTCCTATGACTTCATTATTTCTCCTCTGGGATTCCCTTATGGCTCCGTGACTCAGCCCTGGGACTCTCCTCCCCGGCCCCCCGAGAGCCTCCTGCCAGCATGTGACCCATCCCCATCGCGTCCCTCGGGTCACCCCATCACACCACCGATCTGAGGATCTTATTGCCCTCCGCCGCTCCTCGCTGCCACTCTGTCCCCAGGATGTTCCGTCGGGAGCGCTCCATTCCCCTTCGAGGTTCTGCGGCCCCCCTGGTTAACAACCTCACTGTACTGCAGCTGCCAGCCCGCAACCTGACGCATTTTGGTGTAGTACATGGGCCAAACGCACAGCTTCTCAGCGCCGCCCCGGATGGTGTACCCTTGGCCCAGCGCCAACTCCTGGCTAAGGAAGGCGCAGGAGTGAGCCCTCCACTTATCACTCAGGTGTGGAGTGGGGAACGGGGTTGTTGAACTCAGCTCTACCCCTCTGTTCTTTTCATACTTCAAGAAATAGGCTTTCCCTCCCTCTCAGAATTTCCACTTAGAGTAAGAGACGCGTTATGTCTCTTTACTCTGATCTTTGCCTTACTATGATCTACATCTCTCCAGGTCCACTGGTGTGTCCTCCCCTTCCGAGTATTGCTGGTACTCACTTCACATCGAGGGATACAGGTAAGAAAGGATCTTCCTGTCCTCTCTCCAGCCATCTTAATTTCCTTCCCTTCAATGCCCCCAGGGCCTGCCCATTTGCCGCTAAGCACTTCCAAACTTTCTCCATGCATAGTCCATGCTTCCTATATTTTTCATCTTCATTCCTTTTATTTTCTCCAGTTCCCAAATACCATATCTAGTATCTGTCCCCTTTACTAACTGTATGACCTTGGGCAGAGCTTCTGTGTTCTCCTCTGAAAAGTAGGGATTAAAAAATAGTGCCTCCTTCCCAGAACAGTTTTGTGAATTAAATGGGTTAAAGCTGATATAGATATGTGAAGTGCTCAGTACAGAACTCAGCCTAGGTCAAACTGGAGTATACTCCCATTCCTGCCCCCCACCCCAGATGTATGAATCGGATGGCTCCACTATGGTCTATTGGCATGCACTGGACTCTGGAGATGCCTCTTCAGGTATGTGGACTACCAGGTGGGGTTGGTAGAGCATATGCTGTTTTGGGGGGTAGAGGACTATTTCTGATAGTTTCTGTTTTCATACTCAGTACAGGCTCTGTTTGCCCGAGGAATTGCTGCCAGTGGCCACTTCATCTGTGTGGGTGAGGGGGACCAAGGGCATGGCATTAAGGGGTGTTGGGTATAGGGGTGTGATCTTCAGGCAGGAAGATGCTGAGGGCTAGAAGAAATTGTGAGGGTTGGAGGGAAGAGTGAGAGAGAAGGGGATCTGAGGCTCTGAAAAGACATGGAAGGGTTCAGAGTCAGGGAGTGACCGGATGAGTTTGTTACTAAGATTTCTGGCATAGAGGGAATGCTGATCATGGAGGCTGGAGACCCAAGAGGGTGAGGAAGTCATCAGTGAGATACTGGTTCTGGCTACAGGAACATGGTCAGGCCAGGTGCTGGTGTTTGACATCCCAGCCAAGGGTCCCAATATTGTCCTGAGTGAAGAGCTTGCTGAGCACCAGACACCAATCACAGATATTGCCACGGAACCTGCTCAGGGACAGGTGAGTGGACTTCCCTTACCTATTTTAGTGAGCCTGGTCAAGACTGGTTCACTGGAAGATCTCCAGAAAGTCATGGCACCTAAATTTCATCTATTTAGTAAGGACAGTTATGCATCCTCTTCTAATACATGAAGGAGGTTAAGGGATATTGTGAGACTCTATAATATATGCAAGAACAACCATCTCATCCTGTTTCCCCTCCCCCCCCCCCCCCCGTGTATGTGTGTGTGTAAACTGTGATCCCTAGACCTCAGCCTCCTGAGTAGTTAGTATCACAAGCATGAGCCACTGGTACCTGCTGAGTCCCCTTTTTTTTTTTTTTATGTTGCCAGTCCTGAGGCTTGAACTCAGGGCTGGGCAGTTCCAGAGCTTCTTTTGCTCAAGGCTAGTACTCCACCACTTGAGCCACAACACCACTTCTGGCTTTTTCTGTTTATGTGGTACTAAGAAATCAAACTCAGGACTTCATGCATGCTAGACGCACTCTACCAGTAAGCTACATTCCCATCCCTGAGTCCCTGCTTCTTAAGCAACTCTGAGGAGAGTTTCTGGTGGGTCCAGCTTGTGAGAGATCCACATCTTGCCCCTTCACTTGAGAGACAAATGTGTTATCTTTTCCCTCATGATTTGTATTCAGGACCACAGTAGGGAAGAAAGGGAAGAGCTGACTCCACTTTTCCCCTCAGGATGGTCTGGCTGACATGGTAACAGCAGATAATTCCGGCTTGCTGTGCGTCTGGCGTACAGGACCTGAATTTACATTACTGACCCACATACCAGGATTGGGGTAAGGGGGCTGTGGCCTTCCTGGGGTAGCTTCTGGGTAGGGTGTTCACTTGGATCTAGCACAAACAAAGTGAATGTCACCCATGCAGGGTCCCATGTTCCTCTGTGCAGCTGTGGCAGGGGATTGTAGCAGCAGGTTATGGGAATGGACAAATATGTCTGTATGAGGCTACCACAGGAAATCTTCATGTCCAGATCAATGCCCATGCCCGGGCCATCTCTGCCCTGGACATAGCTCCAGAGGTGGGAAAGGTCAGTCTCTTCTGTATCCCAACATACCCTTTTTCTTGGTACTGAGACACTGAGAGGAATGACACAAATTTGTCTCTACTCACTGTGCCCTTGCCCAGGATACTTGGATTGGATATTCTGGTCTATATCCATCCTGTCAAGGAGTTCTGACTCTCCCTTTTCCTTTTTTTTCTTTTTAAACATAGCTACTCTCTGCAGCTGAGGACACCTTTGTTCATATCTGGAAGCTAAGCAGAAGTCCGGAGAGTGGCTCCATTGAGGTGTATATCATGGAAGGTTTAGAGTGGGGGACCCAAACATAGGACAGCAGGTCCTGACCAGCTCTCTTCTCCCTCAGGTGGAACACTGTCATGGTGAGTGTGTATCTGACACCCAGGTATGCGGTGCTCGGTTCTGTGAGCCCTCAGGCAGCTCCTTTGCAGTGACGGGCTATGACCTTGCAGAGATCCTGAGATTCACCAGTGTGTGAGAGAAAAGTGGTCCTCCTTTTTGCCTGTGGTATTTATAAAGTATTCCTCCACACAGTGCTTGTCTGATTACTCAGTGTCATGGTCATATTTCTAAGTAGTGGGCCAAGCTCCAGGAAGGTGCGGGTGGGGCAGGACTCACCTCTTGGAGAGAGGCAACCTGCACTCAGGAACCAGATGGAGGCAGCTGTTAAATAACTTTAATAGTGTGTAAGAGTCACAAAGGAGGTACATTTTCTCCCAGGGCTCTTCAGTGCCATCCTCAAAGCTGGTTAGTGCAGGGAGGTAGGGCAGTAATGTTCCAGTTTTTTTCCCCAGGAAGGGTTTAGAGGGTCCCAGCTAACTCCTGTAATGAGCTCCCCTCAGTACCATGGCAACCACAGCTTAAGAACAGCTTCTGTTCTCTCTCCCCACCTACCCCTAGTCCAGGAGAGGAAGAGAAGGCCAAGCTGGCTAACTTGCTGCAGGCAGTGCCAGATCCAGAGCCCAACTGTACATAGGTCATTTTCTTTTCTGGCCAGATCCTGTTGTCAGCACCTTGGCCTCACACTGGTGACTGCAGCCAAGTTCGGAATGGACCTTTGCTGCTGCAGAGGCCTCTGGACTGTGGGGACCGCTGATTAGGGAGGGGGGAAGCCAAGCGAGAAGCCCCAGGGGAGTGGTCTGAGGGGACAGCATCCAGGGAAAAGGTCCGGGGTCTCCCCCAGGGCAGAGGGTGGGTCCAAGATGGGGCTGGGGTCACTGAGGCAGGTGAGCAGGGGCTAGGCAAGGCAGGCTGATCTGTGAACATAGCTAGCCAGGGTGGGGGCGACTCCAGCCTTGCGCCCTCCCGCTGGGCCAGGATGTCTGTCACCGCTGCGATGTCATCCAGCGGCTCAATAGCTGTGGCATCAGGAAGGGGTTGAGGGGAGGGCGCTAGTCAGAGCTCAGGCCCCAGGCCCACCCAAGCCCTGCTCATCACCTGTCACTGTAATAGGAGGAAAGCAAAGCCCGGATCTCAGCCGAGATTGCGTTATCCTGTAGGAGCAGCCCTTCACCTGGGCTCCCTGAAGCCATAGGCTCTGATAAGACTGTGGGATTCAGGGTAGAGGGAGCAGAAGTAGGTGAAGAAACCAGGAAAGAGGAGAAAAAATGAAAGCGGTGCCAGGCAAGTGAGAGGTCAGAGGAAGAGACAGCAATCCGCATGCAGAAAGGGAAACAGAAAAGAAGAAATTAGGAAAAAATGTCATGAAATGAACCTTTTGGGGTTTTTTTTGGGGGGGGGGCAGTGGTGGTGAGCTTTAGAGGAGGTAGTTCTAAGAAGAACTGGAGAGCAGAAAGGAATATAATAGGACTGGGTGGGACTTGGGTCCCCAGAGATCTGCCTTAGCCCAAGGTGCACTTTGTTTCCATTATCTGGGTTCCCTTAAAGCCCCCAAGCCCAGTTCCCGCCAGGTTCCCTAAGTATACCTTCCTCTCACTCACCCATCTCATGATATAAGGACCCCTGCTTGGCCAGTGCTTGAGGGGGCTTCCTGGGAGCAGGAGTTTCAATTTTCATGACTTCATCACAGCACTGCTTCCACTGGCCTGCAGGAAGAGCACTAACTGTTAGAGGGCCAGGTTGCCTTCTCTCTTGATACATTTTCTTCCATTTGTAAAAGAAAATAAAAAAACAACACGTTCTCTCTTAGCTTTTTCATTCAAGCTGGCATTCTACCACTTGAGCCACATATCCATTTCTGTCTTTTTACTGGTTAATTAGAGGTAAGAGTCTCTCAAATTTGTCTGCTTGGGCTGGCTTTGAGCCATGATTCTCAAGTCTCAGCCTCCTGAGGAGCTAAGATTACAGGCATGAGCCATGAGTGCCAAACCCTCAATTTCTCCCAAAGGTTCAACCCAGCCCCGTTCTCTCTTACTCATGTCAAAGAAAAGCTGCCACAGTGCCTCCATCCAGTTCTGCAGGGCTTCCCGAGTCTCTGTCTGAAGGGTGTGTGTCACCTCATCATCCCCGTACTGGTTACTGATGCTAAGGGTGAGGGGCCGTCCAGGGGCCTGGTCTGGCTCCCCTGCCCGGACCCGTGTCTCCTAGAAGAGGAATAAGTGGGCTATTTCCCGCTCCTTAGTCAGAGAACTCAGCAGTGATGTGAGGCAATGAGGTCATCCCTTCCTAGAAGGAAGTGCTATGGGCTTTCTCTGACCCTTCACATCTGCCTCCTAATGGAAAGAATGGCAAGAAAAGGCTGGGGAAGAGACAGTCCATGCCTAGTCAGGGAAGGAGGAGTAGGTTGAGAAGGGAAAGAGGGACAGAGATGGGCACCAAGGCCACGGTTTCCAGTAGTTCAAAACAGGTAGGGATCTGGGGTGTACCTTGATGATAGAGCACCTGTCCGGCATTTTGATTTTGATCCCAAGCACCAAAAAAAAGCAAAACAGAATCAAAACACAGTGGGCAGGAAAGCCAACAAAAGGACTAGGAAGCAAAGAAATGCAACTAGACCTGGGTAAGGAGAGAAGAGCAGCAAATGGTAACATAGATACAAATAACAAGCTGAAGGAAACTCGGAAAGAGGAATCAAAGTCCGAAACTGATGGAAGAATTCTCTGAGACTCTGAAGTGGCTGAAGATGGTGAGTAAGCAAGGTGACCTTTCTAGTGCTGCTGGGAGGTAGAGCAGTAAGGACCCCTCTGCGTCCTTGGCTCTGAAGCAGGGTGTGATGTTGTTAAGGCAGGAAGCCAGCTTCCCTGTCTCTGAGGTCTGCCTCCACTCTCTTAGGGCCTGAAGCAGAGGCACCTAAGCCCAGGCCCCCAATGGCCTCACCACTAGGGGACCCATCACCTTGTTGATTGCAATAGTCAACAGCGGATCTTCCCCAGTGTCTGCATCCTCGGGTCGATGGTAACAGAAGAGATTTGTGCCTTTCAGGACTCCATACACTTGTGCCCCGTTCTGTAGCTCCCCAGCTTGCTGCATAAATGACTCCGTGTTTCCTGGGGGGAACATACTCCCCAGCACCTCCTTCCCAATCCCCCAGTGACAGCCTGCCCTTTTTGCCCACCCCCTTCCTCTCCCTCTCTGGTCTTTCCATGCCCCCATCACCCACCCACATCTTCATTTTTCAATAGCCCTAGGTGATTCAGCTTGCCTTTGCCTCTTTCCTGTTCCCTTTAACTCCTCAGAGCCCCCTCACCTGCACTCTGAGGGTACCACTGGCAGTGGGCTGGGTCATGCAGAGAGGCTGAGCTGCCAGACGGCAACACACACTACCATAAAGGGGCAGCCAGGCAGGATTCTCCTCTAGGGCAGGAGGAAATGCAGAGTGAGGGTGCGGAATGAGAAGGGACGTGACATGTCATGTTCCCTCTTGCCATCACCAGTGCCCCCTCCCCCTACACACACATACCATGACTGGCAAGAGTGAGGTCATGTGTACGGAACCCATCTTGTACTGCAGCCAGAGTGAGTGTGGTGTGAGCCAAGAGGTGGTAACGAGGACCTCTAGAGGAAAGAGGAGGAAGCATCAGTTCATATTTTCCATAACAGGAGCTCTGAGAGCTGAGCATAGAAAACTAGCTCGCCTCCCCATCTGGTTGGAGTGAATTTTAACTGTTCATCACACTATGGAACTTGAAGGATCTGTGCATTACATATGTTATGCCAACTGCATTCCCTTGACAGCCCTGTGATGTTGATGACATCTTCACTTAATACATGAGTCAACTTAAGGCTTACAGATATTAAGAAACTTGCCAGTAAAAGCCAGGTACTGGTGGCTCACACCTGAAATCCTAGCTACTCAAGAGGCTGAGATCTGAGGATCACAGTTTGAAGCCAGCCCAGGCAGGAAAGTCCATAAGACTCTTTATCTCCGATTAACCGTCAAAAAGATGGAAGTGGAGCTGTGGCTCAAGTGGTAGAGCATTAGCTTGAAAAATAGCTAAGGAACAGCACCCAGGCTCTAAGTTCAAGCTCTAGTACTGGCACAAGGAAAAAGAAAAGATGTAAGCTGCCAGTAGTTTATAGCTCCTCAGAGTCTGTGATTCCATTAGTACCTCCGGATGCCTCTACCACAAGCCCAGTCTACCCTGTTCCAACTAGGGACCTCTGTTGTGTATGTGTACATCTATCTACAATCAAGAGCCATTAAAAGCCCAGAGCTTGACTTTCTCTACCTTCCTATTGATCTTGAGGATTGGCTTAGGCCCAGCTCTAAGGTATGCCAGAATGCCTTCCAGCCATGACATATAAGCGTGTGCTAGCAACAGTGCAAAGTGGGCTGTGATGTTCAACACGGCTCAAAGGCCACCTGTGGGCAGGACACAGAAGCTGAGAGTAGTGAGGGTGGTGTAGATCTTACCCCACAGCTGGAGTGGGTAGCAGGATGGTACTGCTTGCCGAGCCTGCAGCACTGTCCAGTGACGCTCGGACACGCTTCCCTGAGGAGCGACCCAGAGAGCTGCTGAGCTTGGTAGCAAGCCTCTTGGGAGCACCAGCCAGAGCCCCTTCTTCATCCACACAAGCCCCATACAACTCCAGCCGTAGTTCAAAGTCTGGCCCTGCCTCAGTGCTGCAGAGGTGCAGAAGGACAAAGAATGTGGTCACAGGACGGGCACACAGTAAAAGATGGGATACAAGTACTGAAGCTACACCGAGAAAACCAGGTACCCATCTTCCTCCTCCTCTTCCATGTCCCTACCCCAAATTGCCTTATGGGAGACTGGAGCGGAGTGGAGAAAGGAGGAGTTGTGATACTCACAAGAGCACATTGTTCTGAAAGGAGATGTCTGTGAGGGTCCTGTCCACCAGAATCATCTCTGTGTCCTGAATCTGTTCCTCTAGCTGCAGCAGCAGGAACACAGCCCAGCGGTGCAGGTCTGAATATACACACATACATACGTACATATCGGGGGTATGGAGTGTGTGTGTGTGTGTGTGTACATACTCGCCACAAGAACCTTTAACTTCAGGGGCACTCCCAGGGTGTGGAACTCACCACCTTTGTTCTTGAAATATTCTGTGTCCTTCCACATGAGTGGAATCCGGAGGTCTAAGGGGCAGAGGGGTAGGAAAAGGGGTTGAGGAGATGACATGGCCAGATGAGGGGAGCTAGCAGCTGGGGCAACTGCTTCTTACCAGAGATGCAGACCCGGCCTCGGCATGGGGTGCGCTCAGCAGGCAGCCGGCTGTCAGAAGGCCTGTGGGTAGATCACCAGGTCCTGGCCTAGACTCCACACACAGTCTTCCCCTTCCCTTGCTCTGGTTCCCAAGGGCTCTGGAGCTCTCTGGTCCCAGAGTCCCAGCCCAGAGGTCTCTAGCCAGGCTTGTCATGGGACTGAGGGACTTTGATGGTGAGTTGTTGCCAGAACCCAGAGGTTTGCTTGGTTTCAAGACACTCCAGATCCTCTGCCTCAGCCCCCGGAATCCTGGTATTACAAGCATGCACTACCACCCCCAGCTTCATTTCTTCTTTGATATAGAAGTGCAACTAGGTCAGCCAGAATATAATTTGACCAATGTTTGATGAGATTAAAATATCACAAGGGCTGGAAATGTGGCTTAGTGGTAGAGTGCTTGCCTAGCATGCATGAAGCCCTGGGTTTGATTCCTCAGTACCACATACACAGAAGAAGCCAGAAGTGGTGCTGCAGCCCAACTGATAGGGTGCTAGCCCTGAGCAAAAAGAAGCTCAGGGACAGTGCCCAGGCATGAGTTCAAGCCCCAGGACTAGCAAAAAAAAAATATATATATGTATATATGTGTGTATATATATATACATATATACACACACACACACACACACACACACACACACACACACACACACGTATCATAAGTAGGGAACATTTTTATTCCATTCACCATAGTTCCCTTGTCCTCTCCACTGCCCCTCCTTCCAAGTTTGATTTCTCATATACCTTCCTGACTAGGTAAATGGCACCTTCCCAGTGCCTGGGGCTCCCTAGAGCTCCACATATTCAGCATCCTCTGCTCCACACCCGTCACTGGGATTCTCTGAGCCTGTGTCCATCTCCAAAGGTGACAGCCAGTCTGTCCATACTTGTTTATCATGGCACTCATATACTTTCTGTCTTAGTGATGTGGCACTGATAGAAGTATATTTGGCTTCCAGGAGTTGGGTTGGACCTCACACCTCCTTGTGAGGTGACCCAGGCAGAGCAGTGCGCTGGCTGGCCACCTGAGGAGGCAGCATATGCCCAGAAGCAGCTGCCCTCTGTGCCTACTGGCCCCTTAGCTACAAGGGACAGCTGTAGAGTCTGCTTCATCTTCTGTTAGCTCCATGGTAAGCTAGCACCTGCCTTTCATTCAGCCACTATGGCTGGCACTATAATTGAGGAGCTGGGACGATCTCTCCATGAGGCAGCCTGCCTTGCCAGAAGTCAATTCTCCAAATGGCAACTTACCCAAAATGGCCAGTTGTCACAGCATCCCCTGAGCCATTTCACAGTGGGTGTGTCAGATGAGCAGAGTCTACCATCAGGGTACTGTGTTTCATCTTCAGCAGCTAAGCCCTCTTAGAATGTGTGATCTAATTTATACGAATGGGTAGCTTTCCTTTAAGTGGGTTTTTTTTAATGGTTTGTTTTCCTGATTTCTGCTTCTGATGGTAGATCTCAGGTATAACAAACTATTGTCAATTGTTGTAAGTTGGTCATTTAACAAATTGGCCATTTGGTGAACTGGCTTTGAGAAAATTAGTTTTCCAGAAGCTAGCAAGCCAGCCAGACTTATCAAATCCCAGGTAAGACTTAGCAAATGAGTGCTTTTGCTTGACTCACCATCCATTACACTTCCAGCTCCCACAGAGTTCCCAAATGAGCTTTACTGAGTCCAGCCAGCCCTAGCTACTTTAGATAATACACCACAGTGGAAAAACGCCAAAGTGTCCTCCACTCCCCACACAGGCCTTCCCAAGGAGGTGGTCTGCAGGGTGGTCCGCACTCTGTAGCTTTTGCTGTAACACCATCACCTGGAAAGCCTCTTGCTCCCCCTGAGGCCTTGCCTCCCCGTGCTCACCGCCGGCTGGTCTTCCCCAGCACCTGGGCCTCCTTGCGCCGCTGCAGCTCACCCATGTAGCTTAGGATGCGGCTGTTGCACACCAGCAGGCTCTTGGTGGCCTCCAGAGTCTGCTCTCTCTGGGAACAGGCTGCCAGCAGCTTGCAGGCCCCTTCCCTCATCCGGATCTCATGGTCTAGCTTCCTCTGCAACTCTGTGTCCTAGCCAGGGAATGATGGAAAGGAAATGTCAGTCAGAAAACAGACTAAAGCACACCCCTTTCCCAGTCCCCAAGTTTACGAAAAACTGACATAAGGCTAATGGTTTATGCAATTCAAGAGCAAGTATAGAGCCAGGTATGGTGGTTCATTCCTGCAATACCTGCACTCCAGAGGCCGATGCAGGAGGATCTCATATTTGAAGCCAGCCTGTTCAAAGCCTGCTTAAAGTTCTAATCTAGTCTGAGCTACCCAGTGAAGATCCTATTGCAAAACAAAACTTAAAAAAGAAAAAAGCCTTGAATCTCACCCAAAACTGCTCAAGAATAATCAGAAAAGCCCTATAGAAATAGTCTTCTTATTCATTTGATGTTTAGGAATACAAATTCCTTCTGCCTCTTTTGAACACAATTTGGATTTATATATCCTTTCTTCTAAATATCTAATAACTAAGTTTATTCTACAGATATAGTTAACATATTTAATTAGACAAAGCCATATGTACAAAAATATTCACCAAACATTGTTTCATTTATTTTATTTCAGTACCAGTACTGGGGCTTGAAGTCAGGGCTTCAGGCTCTTGCTTAGCTTTTTTGCTCAAGGCTAGCTCTACCACTTGAGCTACACCTCCACTTCCGTTTTTTGCTGGCTAATTGGAGGCAAGAGTCTCTTAGACTTTTCTGCCCAGGTTAGTCTCAAACTGCAATACTCAAATCTTGTCCTCCTAACTAGCTTGGTTTACATGTGTGAGCTACCAGTACCAGCTTAACCATTAGTCTAAAGGAGTCTAAAGCCCTTCAGTAGGACATTGGTTAAGTAATTTACAACATCTCTACCATGTAATATTGCAGAAATTAAAGAATAAGTTAGACATATATATACACATTTTTAAAAACTCAAGCCAGGCACCGGTGGCTCACACCTGTAATCCTAGCTACTCAGGAGGCTGAGTGAGATCTGAGAATTGTGGTTCAAAGCCAGCCTGGGAAGGAAAGTCCGTGAGACTCTTATCTCCAGTTAACCACCAGAAAATTGGAAGTGGTGCTGTGGCTCAAGTGGTAGAGCGCTCACCTTGAACTGAAGAGCTGAAGAGCTGAGGGACAGCACCCAGATCCAGAGTTCAAGCCCCACCACCAACAAAACAAACAAAAAAAACACTCCAAAATCTGTAGCATGAGAAAAGGACAATATGATACAAGCTATAATTCATGTGTGATATATGTACTTATGTGTGTATATTTTCACGTACAGATACATAGGTGTGCATACTTAGTCACCAAAGTTTGTGATCCTGGGAACCTGGGAAGGGAAAAGAGATTTGGGGGAACAGTGAAGACACATATCAAGTGGTATGCTCCCATAAATCTTCATTTATGCCACACAAAACCCTATATGCACTTCCAAATAGGACATCCTCTGTGTTCTGGCCCTCTGAGCTTGGGAGATAAGGTCAGAGTGAAGAATTGGAATGAGAAAGTAAGTGGTTTAAGAGTGAGGGGCTGGACAGGTCATGCCTTGGAGTCAAAGAAGAGGTCCTGGGAAAAGCACCAAGAAAGAGAAGTAGTGGTACTTAAAAAAGCACCGGATAGATTACCCAGCTCCTCTAAGCCTTTGTTTTCCCACCTATAAAATGGAGATGGAAATAGTCCCCACATCCTAGAATTGTGAGGACTCAGTGACACAGGCTGTAAAACACTCTGCACAAAGCCGAGCACACAGTATATATAAGTGATAGGGATGCTGGTTTTCACCACAATGCTATTTTTGGCAGGAGTAGATTTTACCCAATGAATACTGGAGCATCCCCGTGCTGTCCAGCTGGGAAAGGAGAGCTGTAGACATTAATGGCTGCTCCAGAAGTGCCTTGTCATGGCATAAATGCACTCCCAGGAAATAGACCCTGTTTGTTTCTGGCTGAGGTGATCCCAGGTGGCTTCCAAGAGGAGGTGGAAAACAGATGGGACAGGACATAGGCAAGTGGAGACATCCAGTTGGAAGAGGACAGTGAATGAGCTCCATTCAGACCTGCTCCCTCATACCAGGTCGGCTTCTGTTCCCTGGTGGTTCCAGCCTTCAAGTGTCCAAGATCTGAGCACCTCTTCCAAAAAGCCTTGGCCAGCCTGCCTGCAACTTCTTCCTTCACTGTTTTCTGAGCCAATGTGTTTGGCTGGACTGTCAGCATCTTCAACACTATCCACCATCCATCTCCCAAAACTGGCAACCCCATCCCAAAGGGACCCTCCTCCTGGAAGCCCACCCAGCTGGCATGGCCCCTCCCAGTCTAGCTTTGTCTGTCTGCTAAGCATCGTTGATTGCCAACCCCTACCCCACGTTATATCCCGTTTGTTCCTACCCTAAATACCTCCCCCCCCCCCCCGCACAAAATACATTAACTCCAAAGAGAAGCGGGAAGCCAGTGGCATCCTTCCTCAAGTCCCTCCCGGCTAGCCTAGCCCCAGTCCAAGCACTCACGGATCCTTCCCTAGCCCTGTCCATTGCTCCGTATGGCACAGGGGTTCCAGGGAGCAGCACTAGCCCGTGGAGCCCGCTGGGGCCCGAGGGCCGCGGCCGCGGGGAATCTGAGCAGCCCAGCGCCAGTGCAGCATCTGTAGCGCCTCCGCCTGCGGCGCTCGCTCAGGGCGCGGGTGACATCAGATCCCAATTGCCGCGAGAGTGGCTGTGGGGCTCCGGACGCCCACAGCCCCTCCAGGAGCCTGGCCCTTGCTGTTGCACAGGACCGCATCACCTTGGAAAGGGCGCTGGGCCCTTAGGGAGGCGCGGGACCAGTCCAAGGTGACCCCTTGCTGGGGAAGGGGCAAAGCTGGTGGGGGGGCTATATGAAATGAGCTCACTGGAGCCCCAGAGATGGCTCTAGATGCAGCATGGGGCCCACGCGTCTAGCCCATTTGCCCACCACCTTCCAGCCCCAAACCCACTCTCCCAGGACTCAGGGTCAGCTATGCCTTAGAAAACTGGCTCCCAGCCTTTTGTATAGAGAATCTCAGAAGCGCACTCAGGTTCTGGGATCTTCAGCTTTGTCATCTCCTTACCCCAGGGAACATTCCTTGTTGCTTCCTCCCCAACCTGACCCTACATGGTCCCCAAACATAGACAGCATTTCCTGGGAAAAAGCAGTTGAGTCTCAGCAGGACCAGGGTCAGATCCCCTGGGGTGGAAAGAGGAGGAGTCATGGGCAGAAGCCCCAGAACATATTAGACCCTGTGTAGACATCCCCACCCTTCCCAGACTTCCTGTTCTGCTTCTCACCACCTTCTGTGCCTTTCTGAATCTTCAACAAAGCCTAAGTTCATTTCCCTGGGAAGCTGTGAGCATCTAAGCTCCGGAGTGTCAGTCTGTGTCCAGGTTTTTTTGTTGGTGGTGGTGGTCGTCGTGGGGCCTGAACTTTGGGCCTGGACACTGTCCCTCAGCTCTTCAGCTAGGCTAGCGCTCTACCACTTGAGCCACAGGGCCACTTCTGGCTTTTTCTGTTTATGTGGTACTGAGAATTGAACCCAGGGCCTCATGCATGCAAGGAGCCACCTTCCCAGCCCATGTGTCCAGGTATTTTGTGAACATTAAATGGCAACAACTGCTCTACCTAGCCTAGCACATGTTTAAAAATAAACTTCCCCTCCCTGTACTTTCAACTTGTCATCTTCTCCAAAATGTCTTCTTGGATTTACTCCTCCAGAACTAGCTTATCATCATTCCCGGAAATGTTAATCATTCTCTCTTTTGAGGGCCTGCTGGATTTGAGGAAAAAGAACACAACATCCTCAGCCTGTGGCTATAGGAAAGTTGCCCATAGTAAAAACTAAGCCCCTCTTTTGCCTTAGATCTTAGGCAGACCTCCAATAGAGAGAATAATAATAAACCTGGGGGATGGAGAGGAGGTCTAGTGCAGAATTTAAACATTTATATATTCTGTTTATATAATCTGACCAACCCTTCTGATGAAACATTCTTTGATGATAGAAATATTCAGTAACCATCTTAGCACATGATATATACTTTGAGCAATTGAGGAACTAAATGTTAATTTAATTTTTTTTTTTGGTCGGTTGTGGGGCTTGACCTCTGGGCTTGGGCACTGTCCCTCAGCTCTTCAGCTCAAGACTAGTTCTCTACCACTTGAGCCACAGTGCCACTTCCAGCCGTTTCTGCTTATGTGGTACTGAGGAATCGAACCCAGGGCCTCATTCATGGGAGGCAAGCACTCTACCACTGAGCCACCTTCCCAGCCCATTAATTTAATTTTTTTTTTTAAGATAAGGGCTGCGTTTCCCAGGCTGATCCATAATGGTGGATCCTCCTAGGATTACAGGTATTGGCCACCATACCCACCGTGTGTGTGTGTGTGTGTGTGTGTGTGTGTGTGTGTGTGTGTGTGTGTGTGTGTGTTAGTACTGAGGCTTGAACTCCGGGCCTGGGCCATGTCCTTTAGTTTTTTCACTGAAAGCTAGCATTCTACCACTTGAGCCATTGCTCTGCTTCTGGCATTTTAGTGGTTAAATGGAGATAAGAAGCTCATAAACTTTCCTGCCCAGGCTAGCTTCAAGCCAAGATTCTCAGATCTCTGCCTCCTGAGTAGCTAGAATTACAGGTATGAGCCACTAGAGCCCAGACCAGTTTTAATTTTAACGAAGTAAAATTAAGATTGATCGTGTGCAGATGTAACTAGTAACAGACAGTACAGAGGACTAGGGATGGTAATAGATTTTATCTGATGTACAAATACAGGACAACTTGTGTAATGTCAGGATCTCAACTCATTTAGCATCTTTCTGCAAAATAAAGGTGACCTTCCCTAGGCAAACACATTAAAGTGTTCCATCCCGATGCAGCAGAAACCAGACCAGGACTGGCACTGTGAGAAGGTACAACCTGCACAGTTTATGCAAAGGCTACACCAAGAAGGATTCTGAGGCACTATCTAGGCTCACTGGCCCCATAATTGGACTAGCTAGATTACTCTGGTCCAGGGAGTGGAACAGGGGCCACACAGGCAGCACATGTGCAATAAGTTGCCACTTCTGATCACCACCATTTAAAATCACCCTTTCCATCATTCTTCATCATAAACAAACATGTATTTGTGTGCCAGTACTGGGGCTTGAACTCAGGGCCAGGGTACTGTCCTTGAGCTTTTGTGCTCAAAGCTAGCATTCTACCACTGAGCCAGAGCAACACTTCCAGGTTTTTAGTGGTTAATTGGAAGTAAGAGTCTCATGAACTTTGCTGCCAGGACTGGCTTTGAACCAAAATCCTCAAATCTAGGCCCTTTGAGTGGCTAGGATTACTGGCATGAGCGACCAGTGTCTGGCCTAAACACTTTAATCTACTCCCTCATGACTACAACATGAACACCCACCCACCTGGTGGTCTTTCACTACCTTTCTTGCCATACCTTTTCCCCCAATCCTCTTTCCACCACCCAGTTTATTCTTTACTCATCTAATGGTTTTAAATGACTTTAAAAACCATTGATGAGTCTTTCCTTCACTTAAAAACCCTTCAATAGCGGCTGGGAAGGTGGCTCAGTGGTAGAGCGCTTGCCTTGCATGCCTGAGGCCCTGGGTTCCATTCCTCAGCACCACATAAGCAAAAAGAAAAAAGCCAGAA